CCCAACCCTAAACCCTAAACCCTAACCCTGAACCCTAACCCTAACCCCAACCCTAAACCTGAACCCTAACCCTAACCCTAAACCCTAACCCTAACCCTAATCTTAACCCTACCCCTAAACCATAAAGCCCAATCCTCACCCTAAACCCGAACCCTAAATCCTAACCCGAACCCTAAACCCTGACCCCTCAACCCTAACCCTAAACCCTAATGCCTAACCCTAACCCTAAGCCCTAACCCCTAACCCTAACCCTAAACCCTAAACCTCGCTCGCCTCGCGCGCAGACTGTTGGACGCAGGGGCCGTCGGGGGCGGGACTCTGAAAGCTTTGCGGGTGTGCGGGCGCGCTCGGCTCGCTCGCCCCGGACCCCTGCGGAAAGGGGGGGAGGGGGGTGGGGGGTTCCGACCCCCCCCCTTCAGGTGGGGGGGGGGAGGGTTCTCGAACCCCCCCCCCCCCTTTCAAAGGGGGGGGGGGAGAGGGGTTCGAACCCCCCCCTCCCCCCTTAAAGGAGGGGAGGGGAGCGAGGGGGGGGTTTTCTCGGACCCCCCCCCCCCGCTTAAGGGGGGGATGGCGGGGGGGGTCCCTGGAGCACCCCCCCCCTTTTAAAGTCCAAGGTGATCCACTGGCGCTCTTTCCAGATATTGCCACCATCGCCGAGGTAGGGATCATCTTCCCAAAGTGGAGGCACACTCCCGGTACTGGTGCTGGTGCCAGACTCCAGGCTTCCTCCTCCTCCTCCTCGGAGAGAGAGAGAGAGAGAGGGATAGAAAGAGAGCGAGAGAGAGAGAGAGAGAGACCGACACAAGCATGCGCGAGAACTGAGCCGGAGGAGGAAGCGCAAGCTTCTACACAAATTGCATTGCGCCGGAAAGCACAAGCGGTCAGCGATGTGAAACACCGAATTTCGTTGGCGAAGCTCATGGGATCCTCGCACCCCCAAATGATGCACGCTAAGAACGGGACAGGCCCGACCAGAGGAAGACAATTAGATTACTGTAGATTTGCCGTGGGCAGTCAGTCAAAAGGCTAAGGCCACACTGCTTCACTGGCCCGCGCCAAGCCGGGGTGTACGAACTCGCCCACACAGTGCGCCTGAAACTGAGCCAAACATTTATACAATCGTACGAATTAGCTGCACAGTGGAAGATGGGCTCGCATGGGGGAGGGGGTGGAGAGGAAGGGGCGGGGCTCGTTGGAGCCCGAGTTCCTGACAGTCGGCGCCGATTGCAGAGGATACCAGTGAGGACATGAGCCTCTTGCGAGGGCGCCCAATGCTCCAGACGTGAAGAGGACACGCAACGCGACAGAACATACGGATACCCCTAATATTGCAGGGTCGACCTAATAATCGTAGCCGACTTCGGGTGCAAATCTCACGTGTGTCGTAGCCTCCCTCCCTGCATCCGCCATCTTCTTGCTACGTCATCCTATCATCATGCTGCCATCGGTCTAGAGCCTCCGAGGTAGACTTTACCTGGCTGACGCTACCTACAAAATACGATACGACCAGGCGTTGGGAATCAGCCTGCAGTGCCATTTCCAACGACCTGCCACATGGCATGCGGAAAGAAAAATGATACTCTAATCTGCATCGGCCACGCCCAATCTGGAGAGGGGGAAGGGGGAGGACGGAACAGGAGGAGAACGGAGGAGAACGACCTGGAAGAAGACGCATACCTCCGATGACCTGATCTTTGTCCTCGGCCTCTGGCCGATAGATCGGTGATAGAACCTCGATGAAGCATCCAGACGTTCCTGGGCGCGGTGGGCTATCAAGCCCCTATCGGCGATCAGTGGGCCATGGGGGGTCGGTGCGTCCCCCCATGTTGCCTCTGATTCGCTGGGGCCGGTACTTCACCTCGAGCCCTCTTCAGACTGCGCCGGGGCCCAGCAACGGCCCCCGGGCACCCAAACGGGGCAGGGGCCTGCTGCGCGTCCTCCTCGGGCCGCCAAGAAGTTCAGGGGAGGAGGGCTGATGAGGAGGAATCGAAGTCGGAAGTCGGGAGAACTAAGAAGGGGGTAAAAAGCTGGGGAGTCAAGAGTCATCAGGTGATACCCAGTGGCACCAGGTGCTAACACCCTGTATCACCTGCTCGAAACCCGCATAAACAAAAATCAACGGGGGCCTATTTCCGCGATCCTAACACCAAGGCTCCCGAGACGTCGCGGAAGTTGTCCTTGCAGACGTCGTCGTCGTCGTCGTCGTCGTCATCCCTCCCAGCTTCCAGTATTGCTGTCGCACTATTGTCGGGGCACCTTCTGTTTCCCCTTGATGCCGATGGGGTTGCATACGTCGCAGGGTAATTTCCCGCACGTTGCTCCCCAAAGATCTGGACGCCCTCTCCAGGACTGGCAGACGGCCCCAGAGCCCAGCACTGTGGGCCCCTGGAGGCCAAGAACTGCCAACGACCTCCCGATGCCATTCTTGTCTTCAGTCGGGCGTGTCCTCCTACAGGCGGATTGTGGACGAACAGCTCAGAAGACCCCAAGCATACTCGAAAACGAAAAAGAACAGAAAAATCGTCCTTCAGGCTATTGTTTCCTATTCTTGGAACACTCCTCCTGTAGAGGGACGTGCCCGACTTCATTCTTGTCGCGACGAGGAGGAGGAGGCGGCGGCTAGGGCAGGCTCGAGCCTCCCGGGCCCCAGGCTCGGGCCGCAAAAGCCCTGCGGAAAACGCAAGCGGGGGTAGCCCGCCAAGCCAGAGCGGAGGAGGGCACGAGGCCCTGCCTCCGGCGATCGAGCAGGAGATCGGCTGCAGAGCTGATTCACGCCAAAACTACTCCTCCTCCTCCTCCTCCTCCTCCTCCTCCTCCTCCTCCTCCTCCTCCTCCTCCCACTCCTCCATGTGGTCGCCGAATCCACAAGAGATGCGCAGGATGCTCGTACATCCACGAACAGTCTACGTTCGTATGACTCGACGAGAAAACAAATTCTGGGGTGAATCAATTCCATAGTCGGTTCCCTACTCGAAGTGAGCAGGTCGTGCCGAAAAATGCGGCGGAGAGCGACGGCGGGGAACGGCATTGGGACGACCCCAGACCCCCGGCGTCGTGACTTTCATCGCATCGTCGACCCCAAGAGGTCTGGACCCCTTGTTACCAAGTGCTCCTGGGTCGTCTTCGGCGGTCTTCGGGTGATCTTCGGAGGTCTTCGGCGATCCTCTTACGGTCTTCGGCGGTCTTTGGCAGATTTCAGCGGTCTTCGGCGCGAAAGCTGGATGGTTGCGTTCAACAAGGTGTCCATCATCGAACACCTAAGCCTGGGACAGGCTTCGCATCCCGGGTAAAAATGTTTGACGGTCCCGAGGCCCAGTGAGGGCCTCTGGACGCCGAAAACAACGAAAAGCCTCCCGCAGAGATTTTTGTCGCAGACCGCGAAGGGGACTGGGACTGGCTGAACGGGGGAACCATGTGACTTGGCATCGGCGGTGCCTCGCCGACAGATCCGCTGGCGAAGAGCCGCGCGGTGCCGAGGCGGCGCAGGGCATCCGGACCCGGCTTTTCGCAAGGAATGGGCGACTGGGGGTCGCTGCCCCTTCTGGACCAGTCCCCCCGGCGCGCACAAGGTGGCAGGGGGAGGGGGCAAGGCTTCTTAGAAGGAGGCTGCTCAGTGGAGGGCGCTGTCCTTACATCTACAGGGTCCGCGCCTTCTGGGAAGCAGGGGTGCTTCTATGAAGCCTTCCCCCTTCCCCCATGCCCCCCTCTGCGCGAGGCCGAAGCCCCCCTGCCGTTGCCCCTGCGGCGAGGGGGTGCGGAGAGAGCAGGTGGCGCGCATCAAAGGCTACGTGTCCGGTCCATTCCCAGACCCCCTCGCGTTGTGAAAAAAACACGACGGGATTTGGTTTCGCTATTTTCTGCCTCGGGGGGGCTCTTACCCGGCCCCGGGGCTGTCAAAGAACAACTCTGGATGAACATCTGGTCCCGGGGAAAGGGTACAGACCTTCGGGGTCGACCTTGTGAGCAAAATCACAACGTCCGGGGTCTGGGTTTGCCGTTGCCCCTGCGGCGAGGGGGGGCGGAGAGAGCTGGAGGCGTGCACCAAGGGCTAATTACGTGTCCGACCCATGAGGAACCGGGGGGGCGATCTTGGGAAGCCGACACCGCGCAACACCGCGCAACATCGTGCAGCACCGCGCAACATCGTGCAGCACCGCGTAACATCGCGCACCGCCGCTCAACACCGCAATGTCGCGCGGTGCTTCAGGATGTTGCGCGGCTGTGTTGCTCTGGCGAGCTGTGAGTTCATGATTTCCAAAGAAACTCCGGTGGATTGGACGCGCAACGCAAGGGACGGGTGATAGGTGTTGGCGTTCTCACCTGGACACCGTGAACACACATGGCTGGAAGCACACGTGGGTTCTCCGGAGACTACAGTGGAGGCCAGTCCACAAGAAACCTTCCACGAGAAACCCAACCCTGATACCCCAGGACGTCCATCGATGTTTGGCGTGGGAACGTCACGCCTTCCACAGCAAAACCATCGAAACCCAAGGAGCCTAGGGCACCATGGAGGCAAGCAGGGTGTTTCTTGACATGGGCCTCGACTGTACGGCGCTGAATGCGCATGCTGATGCCCGGCGTGCCCGGCCATAGCAGGTCCGAGCGCGGGTGAGGGGCCAAGGTGGTGCCCAGGCACCTTCGCATCGTGAAGAGTCACGACGGGAGTTCTCTCTAAGTGTTTGGCTTCCAGGGGACCTCACCAGGCCCAGGGACAGAAAACGAAATGCCTGGGATGCGAAGCTGGCCCCCGGGACCCAGGGACTGGGTTGGGACCTCTGCGGATCCACATTGATAAAGGTCGCGGGCCTGGGCCCACGATAGGGAACCCACCCACCCACGTAGTCACGCGTGCCCCCAGAGTTCACGAGGCTGCACAAATGCCCCGAAGGCTCGCGCAATGTGCTCTCTCGCAACTCGTATGATAGCATGCGCGACTACGCGTTGCACTTCGCGCCTGATAATGACGAAGCGGGGTGCCTCTCAGAAGGGCTTCGGGCCTTCCGACAGGGCACCCTGGAGAACAGAAAGGGCCTCCACGAAGAACCGCTTCATTCTCACAAAGCCCCCCCCCACCCCCAACCCCGTCCCCCTTGGGGCGCGCCGCCAAGAGGGCCGGCAGCGCTAGCGACGGATGGACCGACATCCTGGACGCAAGCACTGCCAGTGATGCTGCACTGGAGTCCACGCATGAAGGAAAAAGAGAAAACGCCATAAGCACACACTCTTGGCCTCTTGGCGCTCCGCGCTGAACCCCCCTGCGAGGCGCGCGGAGCGCGCCAGGGGCGGCGCCGGAGGCGCCGCCGGGGGGCCCAGCGCGGATCCAAGAAATCCGCGCGGAGCGCCAAAAGCTTATGTCTCATGGGGTTTGTTCTTCTTCGGCATGAGGGAAGAGGTTCCTGGAGAAGAGGGGCCCTCGAAGTCTCTCCCCGTCTTCGGGCCCCTGGATGCCTCCACGGGCCGTCAACGGCTGGTATCGCGGGAACCCGCTGGGTTCCAGGGCCCGTGTCCCTCAGGAGGCACTCAGGACCCCTCTCCTAGAGGCAACCAGGGTCCCTTTCCTCCATGCCAACGAACAAGGTTCGATCCGCGAAGGGCGATGGCGCGCCAGGTCTGCTGCACTCTGCCCAGCGCGTGGGGCAGCTGAAAGCCGGAGTGCTCCAAGAGGGGACTCGCTCCCAAGGAGCTGCGCCCAACCCGAACTCCGAGACCCGAACATCTCAAATCCGCGATGTTTCTGAATATGTTCCGCCCCTGGGAGCGAAGGATTGCAAAAAAAGGATTGCAAAAAAACCCTGGATTGCAAAAAAAACAGGATTGCAAAAAAAAACCTGGATTGCAAAAAAACCCTGGGTTTTTTTGCAATCCTGTTTTTTTTGCAATCCTGTTTTTTTTGTTGCAATCCTTGGTTGTTTTGCAATCCTTCGTGTCGGGCCCTGGAGCCCGCCCCGACCCTCATGCTGCCTCTTCAGGGAGCCTCGCCCGTCCCACCGCGCCGCTATTCGCGCCGAATCCGCGCCAGATCCGCGTCGGGACCCCGAATCGAATACGCGTCGTGGAACAAGAAAATGCCCACTGCTTGCCCAACCAGAGCAATTGAGGCCCCCCATGAAGGTGCAACTTCCCTGAGATCCGTCATCGCGAACAAAATTGCGACCAGTAAGGCTCCAGTATTGGATGTGGTTGAGGTGCTCATTTCTGGTGTCTCGAACACTGCCCAAATCAGAAGCAGACTAGGAGGATCGCAGTCACGACACATGATTCAACGACTGCTTAATAATGCTACCCGGACCATACCTGTACCGATTACAATGTTATTGCAGCCGAGCCAGAGCTGTGACTGTGACCATTCTTTGTTCTGGTCTTGGTCTGCTCGCGCTCTTAGAATGTATTCAGAAGGTTGCGACAGCCTCCAGCAAACTACCCAGCAACCAATAACATCCTCCCAAAGTGTACCTTGGGGAATCACGTTCTACTGGACTGGACGACCACCACCTCCAACACCAAGCCCAATGCTCCCTGGCCGCCGTCTCCAACATAACACCCAGTACTCAACAGCCTCCGCCTCCAACCCACCGCCGAATACCCAACAATGGTCTCCCCAAGTGTCGCATTTGAATACCATTCTACTCCACAACATCCGTCCACAACACCACACCCAATCCTCAACAGCCTCCGTCTCCAGCACAGAAACCAGTACTCAACAGCCTGCTCTTCAGGTGCACCTGGGACTCATCACTCCACACCACAACATCCTTCTCGAACGACACACCCAATACTCCTCAGCCTCCGTACCCGGTGCAATACTCAATACTCAACAACCTCCGTCCCCAACACAACGTCCTTTACTCGACAACCCCCCTCCATTTATACTCCACACCCTCCGAACACCGCATCCAATATTCCGCAACCTCCGTCTCCAACACAACACCGGGTACTCAACCGCCTCCTCTGCTGCAAATACATGTACACTCCACAATCTTCGTCTCCAACGGAAACCCACTACTAGGACTAGTCTTGGTCATGGTTCTGGTCGGGGTCGATTGTTGCTCACGTCCTAACGCAACTTCATACAACCCAGCCGAGGCCATAACCAAGATTCGACCTGGTCACTTTTCAGGTCAGGGTCGACTGGCATTACAATCAACCCATCTAGTAAAGATGCGCGGTAAGGATGCAAGGGTCTTGACGCCCATGCCGAGGCTCTGCGAGCGGGGCTGGACATCGAAAGAAATTGAGGATGGACCGAAGATGACCGAAGGGAGAAGGATACAAGGGTACCCTTGGCAAGTCGATCATCCTGACGATCAGGGTTGACTATCACATCCTAAACAACATCAACCCGACCCTGACCACAACTGTGGCCAGAACTGGTTCTGGCCATGGTTCTGCTGGGCCGATGGGCGTAAAAAAGTACCGTGCAAATGCACATGCAAACGGAGGCACAACTATGGCCAATACTTGTCCTGGTCAGGTGCTGACTTGGGTCGATTGGCACTGGTAGTTGTCTATGAACGGTCATGCGACCCGACCCAGACGTGACCAGGATTGGTCCAGGTCACGCCTCTGTCTTGGGTCGATTTGTACGAGTATTGACCCACGGCGAGGGCATTGAACAAGGAACCATATGATAAGGAAGCCAAGGTCTGGAAACCACTGGAACTCCCATCGTGGAGCGGCCATGGACATCACCGTCGCCCTCATTGGATAAGGGATCCTCCAAGGTCTGGCGCCTCCTGGGACTATTCTTTAACAAACGCCTCCACCGTACTCATGCGATCCAACCGAATCCATGATCTGGACTGGTCCTGGTCACCGTTCTGGCCTGGGCCGGTTGGCAGTATCCACGCTATATCTATACAAGTGTTCGTGCAACCCGACGCACAGCTGTGACAAGGACTGACCCTGGTCACGTTTCTGGTCTGGTACTGATTGGCACTCGTGATACAATACCAATACGAATGCAATCTGGCCCAGACAATTACAATGACTGCTCCGAGTCATGCTTCGGATCTGGTCGCATTATCCTGAACACCTTCGAAGAATGCGACCCGACGCGGACCACAACTGAGGCGGGCCATTGCCAGAGTCGTGGTCAGGCAGATCCCGGCCCAACCCAAACATATAATTATCCGGGCGAAGGGCCCATCCATGCGCAATTGTGAATACCGCAATTCTGAATATCATCTTTGCCCGCGTTCCCTACGGGGCCACGAACCGCGCGAGGGGCGCGCCGAGATGCGTGGCGGGGCACGCGACGCGAGCGAAAACGATAGGTCTGCGTGCGCGAGACTGAGCGCGAGTGAATCTGATTGTGAATGAGTCTGCGTGCGAATCAGTCCACGCGCATAAGCGTCGACGCCCATGTCGGCGCGCTCTTCCCGGGGATCGCGCCCGCCCAACCCCACCCACCACTGGCTGAAACCCAAACCCCGCCCGCAACGCTTCCTTCCCGTTTTGTTTGTTTCTCTCTCTCTCTCCCATCTTTTTTTTTTCTCCTCTCTCTCTCTCTCTCTCTCTCTCTCATCTCTCTCTGCTCTCTCTCTCTCTATCTCTCTATGTTTTGTTTGTTTGCTCTCTCTCTCTCTCTCTCTTTTTTTTTTTCTCTCTCTCTCTCTCTCTCTCTCTCTCTCTCTCTCTCTCTCTCTCTCTCTCTCTCTCTCTCTCTTTGCCCGCGCGCGCCCGCGTCCAAGGCTGCGGGCGCGGCGCCGCGCGGGGCCCCCGCGACGCACGCCGGTCGCCCCGACTCGCGCGGGTCGCCCGCTGCGCGGAGCAGAGAGAGCTGGCTGGCTGATAGCGGGCAAGGCCGCGGCCGCCAGGCAGAGAGACGACGGGGGCAAACGAGGCTCTGGGCAGAGCGCAGCGCGGAATTCCCGCGACGCGCGCTGGTCGCCCCGAGAGGGCCCGAGCGACGCGCGCGGGTTGCCCGCGGCGCGAAGCCAAGCGGTCAGACCGTCGAGAGACGGCGAGGCTCGGGCGGGTCGCTTTTCAAGTCAAGCCTCGCGGATAAACTCGGTGAAGCCCAGCCCCCTGGCGGGAGCCGTCGCCTCCCTCCTGCGCCGCTTCGTGCGCGTAGCAAACTGCTCCAGCTGCTTCCGCAATCCCTCCGGCGGCCCTGCGGGAAGAAGTCGATGCGCGGCGCCCGCGTGAGCAGGAGGTCCTCGTGGCGCGTGGTGCGCGAGAGCAGCGCGTAGAGCTCCAGCCGCCAGTCGTCGTCCTCCTTCCTGCCGTTCCCCACCTCGTGGCGGCCGCAGTCCAGGATCACGCCTGGGCGACGTCGGCCGAGGGGGCAGCGCGCTGGACAGCCGACGGCCCAGGGCGAGTCCACGAGACGGAAAGAAGGTTTCCGAAACGTGTGAGCGGCCACGAAACGTTCGAGGGGCGTGCCAAAATAGGGCGGCGCCGCCATGCGGGCAGCGCCGCTGGGGCCTTAGATGGAGCTCCCCATGGGGCCACAACAAGTGTGAGGGGTGTGCCACAATGGGGCGGCGCCGCCATGCGGACTGCGCCACTGGGACCTTAGGTGGAACTCCTTATGGGGCCATGAAACGTGCGAGGGGTGTACCAAGCTGGGGCGGCGCCGCCATGCGGGCTGCGCCACTGGAACTTCAGGTTGAGTTCCCTATGGGGCCACGAAGCGTGTGAGGGGTGTGCCAAAATGGAGCGGCGCCGCCATGCGGGCTGCGCCACTGGGACCTTAGGTGGAACTCCCTGTGGGGCCACGAAACGTGCGAGGGGTGAACCAAAATCGGGCGGCGCCGCCATGCGGGCTGCGCCACTGGAGCTTCAGGTGGAGCTCCCTATGGGGCCACGAAGCGTGTGAGGGGTGTGTCAGAATGGGGCGGCGCCGCCATGCGGGCTGCGCCAGTGGACCTTAGGTGAAGCCCCGTATGGGGCCAGGAAACGTGTGAGGGGTGTGCCGAAACAGAGACATGCGGAGAGCAAAGGCAAGGAGGGGGAGGAGGGAGGAGGAGGAGGAGGAGGAGGAGGAGGAGGAGGAGGAGAGGAAAGGAGGAGACGCGCGGCACCGTCTCTTCAAATCGAGGACCCAACAC